GGGAGAATGGACACAGTGCGGCACTCTTCCTTGCTGCTGCTACTTCTGCCAGAGGCTCTCGGAGGGGCGGCCGTGGACCTTTCCCTGGTCTCCATCCTGTCTCTCACCCTCTTTCTCCCCGCTTTGTTCTCCTCCCTGGAAAACTGCTCCCTTCTTCTAACCAAACCGCTCAGCCAATCCCAGGCCAGGGCTCTTCTCAGGCTTTTGCTGAGTCTCTCATTCAACCCTGCTGGGGTTACATCACCCCTTCCAGTTCCAGGGAGGCTACCTCCAAAGCAGCTTCACTCACCCTCAGGGCAAACAGTGTCCTACTGGGACAAACTCTGTCTCTTCTCACTCTGTCCCTCTGCAGGGCAGCCCTTCCTATTCCTTCAGGTGGGGCCATTTTTAATACTGCTACAGTAGCAAACAAAAGGTAACACCAAAAGCAGCTAGTGGACCAAAAAGACACTTGACTTAACTCTGCTTTTAGTTTCACCAGTACAACCCAATTAAGTTATAACTGGCTTCATTGAGAACAGACCTTGATTCTTCTGTTGTGCCACCTCTAGCCTACATATGGGTAACTGCCAATTGGGAAGCAAACATCATATTTTAATGAAGGGCAAACTGAAGTGCAAGACTTTGCCAAGCACCTATGGCATTTATAAAACTACTGTAACTTGCAGCACATTGTTGCATTGGAAATCTTGCAATAGCAGTAGTTTCCAATGACCTAGCTCATTAATGTGACTTAAGCTTCCTATCACAATTCTGAAGAATAATTTAACACTTTGTGGTGGGCACCTTTGTGAAACATGTGGGGATTGCAGCATTTACCAAACTCTTAAGAGTGCAAGACTCTCTTTTCTCTTTGCTGCCTATGGATTATTGGAGCAGTGGGAGGTTAATGGATATGCAGCATTCTAGTGGGGTAAAGTTTGTGTGTGCTGGCTTTAAAAAAAAATCTAATCACAATATTTGAGTGTACATAATACTGTTATGACACTGGCTTTGTTTTTACTGTAATGTCAGTGCCACTGAGCACAAACCATGCCACAGAAGAGCCAGTCTACTGTGTTTCTACTGTCCTGAACTGGTAGCCACAGTCTTAGGGAAGTTTTGTGAAGGCTGTAAATGGGATTTGGAACCCAGGTGCCCCTGTAGGATTGCACTTGACCTGCAAATCCAAGTTGGAACCCAGTTTTTAGCGCTATTGAAACCTAACTTAGCTTCTTGGGTTGGCTAACCCAAGTTAAGACTACATCCTTCTTTTAGCACTGTAGACACACTTTAAGGGTTTAAGGATCAGTGTAGGCCTCATGCTGTGGACTCAACTGAACTACTCATCTGTTGAATAAAGTGTTTATAAAGTAGGATTATTTCCTTCCAGGGAATGTTGACTGACTAACTGCCAAGAGACTATTATGTGGGAGGCAGAGGAAGTATTGCCTGGTGGGGAGGAGTAGACTGTAATGTTCCTCAGGAATGTTGCATCTTTTTCAGTCTATCTCTGCAAAGTTGAGAGTAAAGGGGAAAATCCGACCACTTCTCATCCTTTGAAACAGGGCAGGCAACATGTGCTCTGAGAGGTGTAGAAAACTATTGTAGCCCGGCCAGTTAAACTAACTTGCAATCTGTTGAATACATTCAGGTGATAGAGCTTCGGCGTCCAATGGACTCACGCCTGGAACACGTGGACTTTGAGTGTCTTTTCAAGTGCCTCAGTGTACGTCAGATCATTAGGATCTTTGCTTCACTTCTGCTGGAGCGACGTGTTATCTTCATAGCAGATAAGCTCAGGTAAGTAGTAAAAGAACTTAAACTATAACATATTGTTGGAGCCAGCATTTGGCTAGTGATACAAAGTGAAAGATGGACAAAATTGTCAACTCTCGGGATTCTCCCACCTCAGGGTTTGAACAACCCACATTGGCTTCAATGCAGGCTGTTTATAGGATGTGGACAAAGCCTCTGCATTGTATTCTCAGCTCTGTTACTAACTGAAAACCATTTAACTGGTCTCTGACTTAGGTATTCCTTCTGTAATATGGAATTACCTACTAGGAAGCGTTTTCTGCATTTAGAAGAGTTCAGATCTGCCTTCTGCTTGGCACAGAGAATGGGTTCCATAGATCTCAACACTTCTTACACTTGTGGAAGAAGGGAAATATCCTGATTTTACAGATGGGGAAACTGAGCCACTGGAGGAGCCTAGATGCGCATTTTCATGCATTTACTAAATTTCAGTGCCTAGTTTGAGACATCTCAGACCTGATGCCCATATGAGCGCTGGTAGCTCCAGCTGTAGTCATTTGAAATTGCAGGGGTTTTATACTCCTGAATATCAGCCCTGAGTCTAGTTGAACCCCTGGCAACATACGTACAACAAAATCAATGATTATTTGCCAACAGTCACAGAGTGAATTAGTTGCATTTGGAGTAGGGTTTGGTGATCCTGACTCCCAGCTTCTCTGCTTCATTTACAAGAGCAGAGCTGATCTCAGTCATGTCCTCTGTGGTGACACATACCGTTCTGAGATGCTTAGCTGGCTTGCTAGTAGGCTAATAAGCAGTTTCTATGATATCTGGATTTTCAACCCCTGGGTTAGCTGAAGCCTTTGCTGTGCAGGTATTTGCTGTGTAAGTATTTGCTTTAAATTACCTTGGCCATCTCAAAATATAAATATTCAGATCCCAGGAGGGTCATCTGGTCCTCCTTTTTATGTGAAGTACTATTCAGTTTCCTTTCTTTCGAAGAGTGTTAAAAACAAAGCCTTGTTGTATGGATGTTCGAAATCAGTGGCATATTTTATGTGACTAGGGATATGCCACAACATCATACACCAAAATATTCCTTCTCTGTGTTACAAGCTGGAAGCAGAGTGGGTTGCAACCCTCCACTGCAGAGGCGGGCCCATTGTAGCAGCTGCCTTGGCATATAATGTATTGGATTCTTTAGGAATTAAAGCATTTATATATTTAAGAAGATTTATGGCCCAGATTTAAGGAATATTTTCATATAATAGCTGAAATGAGAAAGTACTTTGGTGTTGCAAACACTTCAGTAAGAGTGATAATACTTTCAGAGGACACTGGCACTTGACAGGATAGTTCAAGCATTAGTTGATGTTCTTAAAATCTCTGTGAAGCAGGTCACCAGCCCTGTTTTAAAGCAGAGGAAACTGAGGTATGAATGACAACACCATAAAGAGAGCCTGTGACAGAGATAGGACTCGAATTCAGGCATTTCTCCCTTCCTAATCTATGCTGTGACTGCATGTCTGGCTGACTGAGACACAAGGACATTACAAGGAAGCAACATGTTATTGTTTCCCTTGAGATCTGCTAAGCTTGTTTTTCAGGTGCCCACAGGAGCTGTGAAACCAGTTTCTGGCAAAAGCTTAGTGTTCAGTTGTTACTGCTAAACACAGCCCATAATCAGGTAAACTCAGAGATGGTGTTATACATGGCCCGCACTCAAACCCTGCAAAATGGAGGGCTGTCTCCTCTGTAGCCATTTCCCTTGCTGTCCAGGCCACACCCTGAAGGTGTGAGTATCATCTTTAAAAGTTTAAGGAAGGTATTTTTAATTGTAACTTGATTAATAAATAAATAAATAGATGGTAAATAAAACAAAGACTATATTTTATTGAACTCAGAAACATCCAGAATCTCTTAAAAGGACCTCAAGGCCTGCATGGGTGGTTGAAAACACAGATGGATCTAGACAAACAAACTCTGTTAAATATGTTATCAGCCCTGTCCTCTGAAAGGCCTCCAGGAATAATAGCTGCACTTAGTGGTCACCAGTGTATATAACAGCAAAAATACTTTGCATAGTAACAGTTAACAATCTTTAGGGGATAATTTCTTAAAGCTGTGGACCCGTTTCCAGGATATAAACTGCCTTTCTTAGCAATATTCCTTGTGGTCTGGGACAACCAGAATGATTGCTCACCTTATTGATAACTCTTTGTTTGAATGACCATTCAGAATGATTTAATTTCTTATAAACCCAGTTAAAATTTTTTGTTGAGTCCAGAGTTTGGACTTATCTTTCAAAGAGTGTCCAGCACATTATTGATATCAGTGTAGGTGGTTTTAAAGGAGGCCTTCCATGGACCTTCCTGCCAGTTTTCTACAGCAAGTTTACTTACATTGTTACTAGCTGATTTGCTTTGCTGTTCATTGAGAACTATTGTTGGTACTTGCATGTAAAACTCCATATGGCCTTAAAGAATGATAGGGCCCCATCTTCTCCCTCATTGCATTGTGCATAGAGCAGAAAGTAGCTCCTAGGGGATCCTATGTTAGGTCTGCTCTTACTAGATGCTGAGAAGACTCAGACCGTTGCCTCCAGGAGCACCTGTGGGATTGATGTGGTTGGGAGATGATTGATGAAGGACATGGTCAAACTGTGAAGGTCAATATGGGTGCTGTCTCACTCTCTGAAATGCTTCTCCCAGAAAACTGGGCTAGCAAATGTGGTACAACACTTCAGCATACGTATGGGGGAAGAAACATTTCAGCCCTCTCTGAGAGAGCTAGTGCTAACTTGGCCTGGAATACAGCTATGCTTTCAGTACTGAATCATAGAATCATAGAAGTAGGGTTGGAAGGGACCTTGTAGATCTTCAAGTCTGACCCCCCGCCTGGGTGGGAGAAAAACTGGACTCAAATGAGTCCAGCCAGGTAGGCATCAAGCGTCTTGTTAAAGACCCCCTTGGAAGTTGGTTCCAGCTCCTAGCCGCGCTAACTGTGAAGTAGTTCTTGTGGATGTCTAATTAAACCTACTCTCCAATAATTTGGAAAAACATTATTCCTTGTCATGCCAGGGGGCGCTAGGGGAAACAGTGTCTCCCCCAAACCCTTCTGGTCCCCCCTAGTGAGTTTATAGACAG